TGCCTAGCCATAAATTGTCAGTGATATAGCAGTTTTGTGCGTTTGTTTGTATTGTCTTGTCAACACACGAACGAAAACTAAGTCGATCCATCGTCCGTTATCAAATGAAATTGTATCATAGAGTATGTTATTTTTCAGCACGAATAGTCTAAACTATTATTTCATTCTTAACGGTAGGACGTCGTTGTGAGAGAAATGTAACAAGAATGAAAACTTAAACTACACACGACCTTATTTTCCAAATATGGACAAGTTGTTTTAATAACGTTTGATTTGTCGCTCGCACTTACAAATCAGGACAACCCAGATGATCGCGAGTTGTTTAAAGCCTGTATTAAAAAATACAAACTCCATTGTACTTCCTCCATTGACAAATACGACCATACATGTACATTTATAACGTTTTTGTATGGCATTCAGACGTGATACTGTAACACATAAAGGGGGGAAATTTTAGGATGTTACCTTCAGCAATGTGAGGAAGGAACACATTACAGAAGTTTGATAGATGATGAAGATACACAAAGTGGTTTGCTGACCCTCAACAAAGTACAACCTTCCTACATATGTCGGTACGATGCGGTCCGGCGTTTCGAACCCTCCGTTGTAGATATCATTTATGTACATATTGTACCATATTCAGGAGTTCCTCATGAGAAATTCTGACCATGAAAATATAAAAATGATGTAGTTGTAAATCAAGATATCCCTTTTTGCCCCACAGAGGCATAAGTAGAATGCTAGCTGTATATATTACAAAGTATATTGAACAGTTAATACATTACATTACGAATTCGTCATTTCAATGACAGTCAGATATTTATTAAAAATCAACATTCCTATCTCACATCACATTACATATTCTACGTTTACTACATTTTCTTGACAATTGATGCATGGTTGCATGACTGAACAGAATATACAACAAATATTCATTTCATTGAATACATATTAATAAATTGCTCACATTGTCCTGATTCCTGGGATGTCTGCAACCTGTTGTTTCAAACTGGATGCAAATTGTTCCTTGAAAGGTCTTCATAATAGTGCGCATCCTTGACAACTTTGTGTTATATTTAACGTACTCTAAGCGAAGTAAATACGACCATTGTGATAAACTACGTCCCGTGTTTCCGCATTCCGTCGTCGCAAATTGAACACTGCTAGGGATATTCCACAGATGATCAACAAAGATACTACCGACAGTCCGGCGACGATGGCAACTGGAAACGCATGTTCATCTGGGAAAATATTGAAATAAGTTTAATTTAGAAAGTAACATCAAAATTATGTTATTCTTCACTTATGAGATTTTGGTTAACATTTTCCCATTTGATGTGTGGTGTCAAAATGTTTGCATGTATCATATTTGAAATAGGTATGTTATTTAAGTCAATCATGGGTCAAATCGAGATTTGATCACGGGAATTTATTGATGTCAATGGAAACTTTAAACTTTTCATAGTACAAATGGTCCTTGCTGGATGTCATATCTAGTTAATATACTGAGTCAAAAAAGAAACTTCACATTCCTTCTTCAGGGCACTATAAAAGAACAAGAGATGGTAAAATCGTTAAATTGTTATTATTTCATTGCTGAGATATGTGTGACGTACTCGATACACTGACATTGCCATCATCAGTTCAATTAGGCTACACCGCCGTTCCAAAACATGGGTATACAGAATGTCAAGTCACAAGAATGAAAATGCGAAATTTCTCAGTTCAATATCGTGTATGGCCGCCCCGCGCATTAACCACTGCCAAACACCGTCTCCTCATCGACTGCCTGATGCTTGTGAACACGTGGTTGGGGATTCTGCGCCATTGTTCTTGCAAGGCAGCACCAAGTTCCTGCAAATTCTGAGGTTGGTTCTTAAGACCACGAAGCCTTCTCCCTAGTGCAACCCAAATGTGCTCTATTGGATTAAGGTCAGGGGACCTCGATGGCGAGTCCATGACGTTGTTTCCAGCGTTTGAAGGAAATTTCTTGTCAACATCGCGGTATGCGGCAGAGCAGTATCATGCTGGAACTGTAGACCTGGGCCATGAGCCACCATGAAAGGAACGAGTTCAGGGGTGAGCATCTGGTCGCGGTAAGCAGCAGCTGTGAGGTTTCCACGGATGACCAGAAGTCGGGAACGGTTGTTCCCACAGAACGCACCCCACACCATGCAACTTCCGAACCCGATTCTGTCGACTTCCTGTACACAACATTGGGCATACCGTTCACGACGTCGTCTCCAGACTCTATGCCTGCCGTCCGCGAATCTGAGGGTAAACCTCGATTCATCGCTAAAGACGACTCGATTTCAGTCTCTCTGGGTCCATCGGAGGTGACGTTGATCCCACAGCAGACGTTGACGTTGATGAAACGGCGTCAATATTGGCCCACGATATTGACGTCGAGAATGGAGATTGGCATTCCGCAACCTATTTCGAATGGTCTGTGAGGACAGTAGACCTCTAAACATCTCAGCCCTGGTTCGTGTAGCCGGCAAAAATCTGCCACGTAGGTGACGTAGGACGATTTGACGGTCTTGTGCTCGTGACGTCACACGTGGACGACCCGACCTTGGGCGGTCGGAAGTGGTGCCAGTTTGCTGTAGACGACCTCTCAAGTCATACACAGTACGACGGCGTCAATCCATTGCTCTTGCGACGTCAATAACTGATTTACCCGCTTGCAACATGCCATTGGTAGGTTCACGTTGCACATTAGACAATCGTGGCATTTCAAGTACCGTTAGAACTGTGGTTTAAAAGTGTTTGTTCAATTCTTGAGGCCAATGCAAACACGTGCATATGAAGAAAACTTCGATGCGAAGATCACGTGATCGACTGCACGTGCAAAACCTGATTTGGCACAGACGTCATTTGCATGACGAATGGATGGGTTTGAGTGGGTTTTCCTAACGTTTTTCTACAGTCCAAAGATAGGGATCCCATTTCGGATACATAGATGTATCATCAGAGAAAAATTATTCATTATTTTTCAAATTACATTTTGTGAAGTTTCTTTTTTGACTCGGTATAGCATTATCTAAAGTGCAACTATAAATCCCAAAACCCACACCACCAATACAAGGTTGGGCATATCTCTCGGTGGCTTCTCCTTCGACGACAGGTTTTTATCATATAAATATTCCATTTCAATGTCAAATATGTTCTCGTCACGATATGGCTGCAATATTGCCGATGTGACGTTAAATAATAAGTCACTTGATCAGTGGCTTCAGTGAAGTAATTGTATGAGATGTGTGCATCAGGAAATGTTAAGGTGGTTTACTTCCGTATTTACATTTACATTAAATTGTCAAAATGAAATAATGCGAACTGTGGCCGTCCGCGAACAGACAACTTTCCTTGTATAGTCAGCATGTATTATCAATATTTCCTCTGTGTACAATGTACAATGTACAATGCATACAATATCCATGTAACTCTACCGTGCGTAACTGAACTATAACATCAGAAAACTACCGGAGGGCATATCTGTTTTGTTAACATTAAATATTATATCATTTAATCTTCCTGTGTGAAACCTCAAATATTGCACTAAGGGAGGTAGTGTAATGCATTAACATGCTAAAAAATGACAAAGCTGAGCTTAATACCTTAGCCGTGTGTACACTGATGTAGAAGCATGGCAGGACGGAACTGATCATGTTTTCATGTAGTCCGAACTACAGTAAATAGATAACGTTACTTTAACTGAGCACAGCAGACCAACAATTTGTGCAGAAAATATGCGATATTAATTAAATGTTGTAGTTTGTAAAAAACAAAAGCAACCCACACATACACATACACAGGTACTGTAGAAGTCGTGAAAACGATTGCCTAGCCATAAATTGTCAGTGATATAGCAGTTTTGTGCGTTTGTTTGTATTGTCTTGTCAACACACGAACGAAAACTAAGTCGATCCATCGTCCGTTATCAAATGAAATTGTATCATAGAGTATGATTTTTTTCAGCACGAATAGTCTAAACTATTATTTCATTCTTAACGGTAGGACGTCGTTGTGAGAGAAATGTAACAAGAATGAAAACTTAAACTACACACGACCTTATTTTCCAAATATGGACAAGTTGTTTTAATAACGTTTGATTTGTCGCTCGCACTTACAAATCAGGACAACCCAGATGATCGCGAGTTGTTTAAAGCCTGTATTAAAAATACAAACTCCATTGTACTTCCTCCATTGACAAATACGACCATACATGTACATTTATAACGTTTTTGTATGGCATTCAGACGTGATACTGTAACACATAAAGGGGGAAATTTTAGGATGTTACCTTCAGCAATGTGAGGAAGGAACACATTACAGAAGTTTGATAGATGATGAAGATACACAAAGTGGTTTGCTGACCCTCAACAAAGTACAACCTTCCTACATATGTCGGTACGATGCGGTCCGGCGTTTCGAACCCTCCGTTGTAGATATCATTTATGTACATATTGTACCATATTCAGGAGTTCCTCATGAGAAATTCTGACCATGAAAATATAAAAATGATGTAGTTGTAAATCAAGATATCCCTTTTGCCCCACAGAGGCATAAGTAGAATGCTAGCTGTATATATTACAAAGTATATTGAACAGTTAATACATTACATTACGAATTCGTCATTTCAATGACAGTCAGATATTTATTAAAAATCAACATTCCTATCTCACATCACATTACATATTCTACGTTTACTACATTTTCTTGACAATTGATGCATGGTTGCATGACTGAACAGAATATACAACAAATATTCATTTCATTGAATACATATTAATAAATTGCTCACATTGTCCTGATTCCTGGGATGTCTGCAACCTGTTGTTTCAAACTGGATGCAAATTGTTCCTTGAAAGGTCTTCATAATAGTGCGCATCCTTGACAACTTTGTGTTATATTTAACGTACTCTAAGCGAAGTAAATACGACCATTGTGATAAACTACGTCCCGTGTTTCCGCATTCCGTCGTCGCAAATTGAACACTGCTAGGATATTCCACAGATGATCAACAAAGATACTACCGACAGTCCGGCGACGATGGCAACTGGAAACGCATGTTCATCTGGGAAAATATTGAAATAAGTTTAATTTAGAAAGTAACATCAAAATTATGTTATTCTTCACTTATGAGATTTTGGTTAACATTTTCCCATTTGATGTGTGGTGTCAAAATGTTTGCATGTATCATATTTGAAATAGGTATGTTATTTAAGTCAATCATGGGTCAAATCGAGATTTGATCACGGGAATTTATTGATGTCAATGGAAACTTTAAACTTTTCATAGTACAAATGGTCCTTGCTGGATGTCATATCTAGTTAATATACTGAGTCAAAAAAGAAACTTCACATTCCTTCTTCAGGGCACTATAAAAGAACAAGAGATGGTAAAATCGTTAAATTGTTATTATTTCATTGCTGAGATATGTGTGACGTACTCGATACACTGACATTGCCATCATCAGTTCAATTAGGCTACACCGCCGTTCCAAAACATGGGTATACAGAATGTCAAGTCACAAGAATGAAAATGCGAAATTTCTCAGTTCAATATCGTGTATGGCCGCCCCGCGCATTAACCACTGCCAAACACCGTCTCCTCATCGACTGCCTGATGCTTGTGAACACGTGGTTGGGGATTCTGCGCCATTGTTCTTGCAAGGCAGCACCAAGTTCCTGCAAATTCTGAGGTTGGTTCTTAAGACCACGAAGCCTTCTCCCTAGTGCAACCCAAATGTGCTCTATTGGATTAAGGTCAGGGGACCTCGATGGCGAGTCTATGACGTTGTTTCCAGCGTTTGAAGGAAATTTCTTGTCAACATCGCGGTATGCGGCAGAGCAGTATCATGCTGGAACTGTAGACCTGGGCCATGAGCCACCATGAAAGGAACGAGTTCAGGGGTGAGCATCTGGTCGCGGTAAGCAGCAGCTGTGAGGTTTCCACGGATGACCAGAAGTCGGGAACGGTTGTTCCCACAGAACGCACCCCACACCATGCAACTTCCGAACCCGATTCTGTCGACTTCCTGTACACAACATTGGGCATACCGTTCACGACGTCGTCTCGAGACTCTATGCCTGCCGTCCGCGAATCTGAGGGTAAACCTGAATTCATCGCTAAAGACGACTCGATTCCAGTCACTCTGGGTCCATCGGAGGTGACGTTGGGCCCACAGCAGACGCTCACGTTGATGAAACGGCGTCAATATTGGCCCACGATATGGACGTCGAGAATGGAGATTGGCAGTCCGCAACCTATTTCGAATGGTCTGTGAGGACAGTAGACCTCTAAATATCTCAGCCCTGGTTCGTGTAGCCGGCAAAAATCTGTCACGTAGCTGACGTAGGGCGATTTGACGGTCTTGTGCTCGTGACGTCACTCGTGGATGACCCGACCTTGGGCGATCAGAAGTGGTGCCAGTTTGTTGTAGACGACCTCATACCGAAGACGAAGACGAAGTCATACACAGTACGACGGCTGCATCCCATTGCTCTTGCGACGTCAATAACTGATCTACCATCTTACAGAACAGAAGCCACGATCCATGTGGTCGCCTCTTACGACCGTTATTGGTTGCTGGGAACCTATGAGGACCTGCAATCTTCACGGGGTTACAGATGCCTGTAACATAACCAGGCGGCGTTGGTATGCCCGGCTTTTTATGTATAGCGTGTTTCATTCCGCACATTTGAAAGTTGTTATGATCATATGGTGTTTATTCATCACGTACTATTTCACTTATATGGTTACATAAATAAAGTGGTTCCACTGTACACATGCGTGCACTTCGTAAAATAACTTCTTTCCAATGACATCTTAATGCAATAGCTTTTGAAATGAAATGAGTGTTTACATAATGAATAAAATGCAAAATATTTCGGTACAAATGTACATACCGTTTGGCACGGCATTGGTGACAGTGACTGTAACATCCTGTTGGCCTGCTGTATTTGTTTTCTCTTGTCCCGATGTGTTAGCTGTCAGGAGAAAACAAGTAATACTGATAAATAGTGTACATACCGTGACGATACCGAGGAGGTAACTACAACACTTAGAGTCGTCATACATGACAAAGTATGGAGGGAGAGTTCCTGTCACAGAATCCAAACCGCGATCCATGTGGCCGCCACTTGTTTTGGACCTATACTGACCCGGAATCCTCACCTGGCTACTAATACAGCGTGCATGACAAAACCAGGTTACTGGTTCTTTGTCACTATTTGTGATCAGTACAAATGTTTGTGTCGATTTACCTTTCGTAAAGAACATAAATGACAGGTCGTCAGTTATAATGGAGTCAGCAAAGGTAGCTATCGAAGTCTCTGGTTGTGGAACGTTTTTGATGTAATGACATGTGTAGATATGATACAATACAATCATTGTACATATATTGGTCACTGCACACACATGAGCGCATATCCAAATAACAACATGAAATGTGAAATGCATGACATTGTACGTCCACATACTATAAAAAGAGCCAAATATATATATCCTATATAAATGAGATGCTGATCGACGTGCCATACATATGTTTTCATGTTTAATTCAAGTTTTCAGGGGCGTTGGGGTAGCTTAGTGGTTCAAGCGTTCACTCGTCACGCAGAAGACCTGGGTTCGATTCCCCACATGGGCACAATGTGTGAAGTCAATTTCTGTTGTCCCCCGCCGTGATATTGCTGGAATATTGCTAAAAGCGGCGTAAAACTAAGCTCACTAAATTTGTCTCCGTACATAAGATTGGAAGGTTACGAATCTAAAACTAGTTAACAAATGCACAAATCAATGAAGGAAAATTACTTTTAATACATACGTATCACAATCAGTAGATATCCGTCACTGTGAGATACATTGTGAGGTGATACAAGACTCGCTCTCCGACTGGTCATCCTTCCAGCATCAGCAGGTGTGACGGTAGACAATGTGAAACTCAGTATGCCATATTTAGGAGAAGAAATTATTGGCCCAAGTCTTATGCGTGCAATATACTGAGATGATACCTTGATCCGTAGATTGTCAACGACAAATATGTCCCGACCAAATGAATTTGTAATCAAGTGAACTGCCTTAATTAAAGGAGTCACTTTCCATCTTATCTTCACATCATATCCGTCTCTCACCGTGGAGTTGCCTTGGGTTGAAACTAAAAGATAAGAGAAACACAACGTAGAACGTGTACAGCACATTCATCAAAGCACACTGGTAAGACATCTCCTTCGTTTACTGACTGACTATGGTTTTAAGGATAACTCCAGCAATATCACCAGACATGGGCTTAAAACATTGTATTAGTACCCATGTGGGGAAGCAAATCCATCGTTTCCCTCTTTGAAACTGTACTACAGTATCAAAGACAGCAATCTTACAAAAAGCTAAATCTTAGTATTAACAATATAGATCAGCTAAATTAATAGTTCCATTTTACGCTTTTGCATAATTGACAGTTTCTGCCTGGTACTTTACATAAATGACGTAACCAATTACTTACAATTAGTGTTTAACGTGGAAGGTTCACTCCATTCTGAACGGAAACCCTGTTGCAGTTCTACTAGACAAGAATATCTATCCCCATGTTTACTGTGTGTTGTTAGATTGCTCGATATCCAGTCCTCATCTAAAGTACTTGTAGTAACGGAGTAGTCTCCTTGTCTTCCAATGGTAGTGACATTTGTCTTCCAAATAATGTACACGTTCAGTGGTGAGACGGCTGGAAAAATCCGGACGTATGCCAGACATGTCATATGAACATCTTGTCTGTCAAGGAGTGGAGGAGAGACGATGTATGGATTCTGAAGATCTGTGTAGTTACGAAAACCCAGACAAATTCTAAAAGGTTGCCATAGTGGTCATACTGAAGTGTAATTTCTAATTCAGTATTGAGAATATGAAACTTTTCACTGGCCTTGTTTTGTTTTCAGCTTCTCAGCTATAGTGAATGTTAAGCAGCATAGCAGCATCGCAACGTTCTCCTAGTTATGACGTCAATATCTTGTTACGTAACGAATTTTCTTTTCATGATAGTCATCAATTTAATATCATCGTACCCAAATGTAAGTGAAAAGGTTTATCAACACCTTTTCTTATTAACGAACATTGGAAATACAACATAAGTAAAAGCAAGTTACATGATTAAATCCCCGATGCCATTAGCTTACGTAGTTAGAAAGGTAGATAACATTATTAGGATTTTTTAAACAGCACTTATCTAAGAAAGGCATGTTATTGGGAATACAAACAGGTCGACATGATGGATGCAATTGCTGTTATGTAAAAAAAAACCCGAAAGCAAACAAAAAAACCCCACTGTCATCGATCGCTTGAATAGGCATACGTCAAAGGATGATAAGGGGGGCGGGATGCTGTAATCAATGTAAAAGCTGTTATCAATGAAAACCTAATAATTTATTTATATTGAGTTTTCAATATATCTGATATATATCTTATCAAGTAACGGATTGCATAAAGAAGCTTTAGTACAGATACCATTTGCCACCCTGTCTAAAAACGGAGACACACACAGGTACATTCCCAAGAGCCAGCGAAAGACTAGACTATACAATTTGGTCATTTTTGATATAGTGTTTCTACGTGAGTCATGACTCTACATTTAATGTAATAACTTGTCATGTAAATATAGCCGTGTTGGGATTTGAAGCACGGGTCATTTGATCCGAAGTCGGACGCCTTGTCTACATGGCCAAAGAGGTTAACCCCGTCAGCAAACTGACAAGGTTGGCAAGTCATCTATTAGATGACGCCACGCCCTGCTACATAAGTACGTAATATGTATAATTTTCAGTTTGCATTATGCCAAAGAGCATTATGAACTCACACGCACTGTCGAACTCGTACTCCTCACTCGTTATTGTTCTCTTGCCTATTCCGTCATCCACATCAGCTTGACACGTGTATATGTTTCCTGTGTTTCCTATGTTCATACCCATGTTTGTGAGAGTACTACTGAAATATTTCCTGCTATCAAATGTCCCATCAGCTGATGTTATGTTATACCTCCCTCCGTTGTGAAGGAAATGGAAGATACAAGTTCCCCGTGTAGAAAGACATAACATGTCAAAGTACCATCCCCATCCCCGTGTTTGGACACGATATAAGGATGCTGTATGTAAGCTGGAAATTAAAAAACAAACAAAAACGCTCAAAATAGGACAACTGATATTTTCAACAACAAAACAGGGACGTAATGACCCAAGTTTGAAATATATAATCTGTAAATTGTAAAATGTCAATCTCCACCCTCATCTGCAGAAACACATGGGTAGATCGTAAAGAAAAAACTGTTTACACACATAAATAATAATAATAAAATCCAAATGCGTACATAAGACGATGTCCAAAGAAGGACAGAAGCATGGATGATGAATGTTCAATGTGTATACATCCATATTATAGTTTGCTTGTAAAGACATCTATCACATAGTTTCAGATGCAAGGTTGAGAACGGTTAAATCTTTTGTTAATATGACAGATCAACCTGTCATGAACAGATTTCTCCCAAATGAATGTGACTCGCTCCAGCAGGAAACAGAAAACAGCTTTTCTTCATGCAAACACCACGTCAGTCGCATTATGGAATATCGCCTAAAACCCACACCTGCTATATTGTTAGGGAACGTACTTAAAAACAACTGAAAATTGAATAATGATTTAGTTTGAGAAACGGTCATGATTAATGCTGAAGCATTATATATCACCACGCATATTAAGAGAATCCTCGTTTGTCAAACAATCTGGCTCTAGCCATTATCTCCTTTCACAACAACTATTCGTATGCTATGAGGCCTACACCTCCACCTTTATTGTCTTATTAAATTGCTGTTCTTGCATGTACATATATATGCCCTCGGCTTCATAGCATTCATTCACCTGACGAAGGATCCAGCTAGGGTCCATGCAGGTAGCAAAAGTAATGTAAGTCCCCATGGTACCAAGTATATGGTGATCTACCTTCAGTCGTTGGCGATCTATAGCCCGTGTTTTATATACTGTATTGTCTTCTTTAACTGGAATGTTTTAGCTTTGCGTGCTAGTTTTATATTCATATCTGTGATTCTCTGGTATTTTTACTGTCCATCGTTTTAATTTTTCACTTTTCACTTTTTCTTGTATAAATCGTTTTCGTCACGATACGACTGATATATTGCCGATGTGACGTTAAATATTGACTCACTCACTCACCTGGTGAAGGAGTAAGTATATACTTCGAAACGTTGTGTTTCTCACTTCAATACGCCTCAAACAACAACTGACATACAACCTAATATTAATATATAAATGGGCTCTTTCAAAAATTATTCAGCTTTGGAAACTATTGTCAAAACACAGAATATTATGTATAAAGTAGTTATTTACAGACCAATGAATGAAACCCCACTCAAATATTAACATGTCCTTGCAGTTATAAGCACTTCCTTACCATATACCAAATCTGTCTTCGAAACATAAGGGGAAGGTGGGGTAGCCTTGTGGTTAAAGCGTTCGCTCATCACGCCGAAGATCCGGGTTCGATTCCCCACATGGGCACAATGTGTGAAGCCCATTTCTGGTGTTTCCCGTCGTGATAATGCTGGAATATTGCTAAAAGCGCCTTAAAAACATTTTCACTCACTCTCTTGAAACATAAGGGAAATTTCGAAAAGCGTGAATGAAGACATTTTGAAATGCATTGCCCAATTATGTGTTATTACTGATGAAATATTTCTCATTGAAACATAAACCTTTTGGCAGTATACTGTGCATGTACACTCTGACATCTGTATACACAAAACAGTGAATACAAGGTATTACTAAGCTCAATAGCCATACACATTTAGATTTCTTGAAGTTTCGAAACAATCGTATTGAAAATTACCTTGCGTATCTCGGACTATGATGAGTATGCAATGTATGTAAACAATCCAGATATACCACATGTGGCGCCCCATTTCGTCCTATCCGCGAAATGACATGCCGGAAAGCTTCTTTATATAAGCCGAAATAACAGATTAAATTTAGTATTTTGAACAACTTCCGCGTACAAATCATTAACAGTCGTCTGGGTCAAGTGAATATGGGTCTGGGTCTGGATATGAAAAGGGCTTTTCACCGAGGACGTTCTATGCTCACGAAAAATAGAAACGCTTGTTGTGAATGTTGACATGTTTATTCTGCTGTGTTCAAAGTAGGATAACCCATTTAATACACTATCACTTGCAGCCAAGCAAACTAAGCACACAAAAATGTAAGTGATCATATATAAGTCAATAAAAGTTTAATCAGTGATGAAGTATGTTCAGATGTGGACGTTATCCTCAGTGCCTATTGTGATAACAATTCAAGTGTCTTGATAAACAGCTCTGCATTGTCCCAGTATGTACTGAAAAAGTCTTGTAATCCTGGCCCGCTCGTCCTGTAATGCCTTTATTAGTTACTGAAGCGATTGAGGCGGCCTTTGAAAGTGACGTACAATTTCGAAGCAACACGGCCTGGCATTATCTTGCGGGAATGTACTGGAGGTACAGCAATGTTAACTGGAGGCTTACAGCATCGCTGCCCTTCGTGTATGGAATTGAATTGCTGATATCTATCATAGCAAATGCTGGACACTCTTTCGGAAATAAGTCTTGAGATAAATGTCTTAATCAATTCTTTGTTGATTGTTCCGACTGTTTTTGATTACAGCTCATACAGCAAAAGGGACGTTGCGAAATAGATTGTACATGTCTTATTTCAAATCTTGTTTAATATGTCCTAGAGACTGCAAAGCACTACATTTGGGTCGGTGTTGTCAGCAAGCCATACAGGAATAAAACGACTATTCTTAAAATTCAAAAACAAATTCTACTTAGATTGAAAGTTAACAAGATGTACGTCCAGATGTGTTGTGTGCTTCACCGAACGGTCAGTTTCCAAATCAGAGGCAAGTCATCCGATGCGAACCCCGCCGTAATGTTGCTGGAATATTGCTAAAAGCGGCGTAAAACCAAACTCAGTCAGTCGGTCATCCGATGCGAACTATTCATCCGCCAAGTTACATTGGAGCAAAGAGAAGTCAATGGTGAAACAGGTTACCAGGTGTTTGTGAAAAAGGACCACATGTCCTGCTATATGTCCAGCACCTACCACTCACATAGTCTGCCTATAACAGTTAATGTTTCAATATATATGTACACATTGTACTGACTTCTAATCTCTATGGCTTTCAACGCACCAGATTCGACCCGATACAGTCAATATGATTTCGTTTAAAGAGAGGTAATATGGCCTAAAAGGTATTTGTATATCTGTTTCATATCCTTTATATTGTAAAGTTGAACATCTAGCACAAATATATTTTCTTTTACAACAGGAAGGCTTCAGTAACCAATGCTTGTAATAAGGGACGAACAAGATCGCGTAGGCAGAGTTGACTTGGTTGACACATGTCATCGTATCTCAATTACGTAGATCGATGTTCATGATATCAGTTACTGGATTGTTTATTTTTTCCAAAACTCATAATGTATATTCGTAACATTAATGTAAATGGAATTTGCTGCTATCTATGAGTGAAACAAATGACCAGGACATATCTGAATTATGAGAAATTAGAATAATGAAATACATTGCCATATTTGTCCTGAACATGCTTAGAAAGGTGTGGCGGACAACCAGTACATCTGAAGTATGTAGACTTGTGAGAGTCGCTTTGTTTCTGTGACGTCTATATTGTATTGTATTGTACTGAATACATATTCTGACAATATAAAATGCATCGGAAAACTTTTGAAGCCACATTATGAAAAAACAGTTCATTTAGTATTGTACAAATATGTCTGAGAGCTAATTTAAAACATAGTTGCACATGGGAAATTATAAACAGGAAATATTTGACAGTTTTAAATAAAAGATAACGCAATAGTATCTAGCACTCGCAAGTTTATAGAATTGTAAAGGGAAATATTTTAAAGGTCACAACCTGACAGCAATTACCAGTGTATGAAACTAGTGGACCTTCGCTACTTGGAAATAAAGCCTGGGCATGGGTCTCACAAACTATGACCATAATCAGGGCAAATCCGGGACTCGGACCCGCAACGAACGAATTCTAGCCAGCGTCTGAAACAGAGGTTGTGGCAGCTAAATGCCGCACCTTTGACGATTAGACTCACTCACTCACATGAGCAAAAACATTTATACCAGCTGAAAGTGACCGTGAGACCGTATTGTCACGTTGTCATCAGAACGTTATAGTACTAATAATCATTAGTTGCCGGGGTGATAAGGGTATGGAACCCTTTTCAGTGATACTGAAGGAGACCACATTGTGAGCTTAGGGTTTAGCCATTCTATTATCCACTTATTTGCTCCAATCACAACCCGTCTTATATTATCAGTGAAATAAGCATGCTTGCTGTTTAAATAACACCAAGAACTTTGGCTTCTTTGCGCCACTTGTGTCACTAAAAATACGCTGAGCTGACATGTGATGATATAACGAAGTACAACACCTGATGTAACTGGCATACTGTTCAAAGTAGAATTTAACAAACCATATTCATATTTACAAACGGTCACTATGTTTGAAACAGAAAGTCGGTGTTTTCAGTCTTTTAACGAGACGTGCACCAATGAAAGCAAATGTATGAAAAGCACTTCTTATTTACAACAGAAATGATCATTTTTTAATGTTGATAATTATGCACGTCGGGTTTCGTCTACTGCACTGTAGAATACTGTATTATTGTTCGAGTCCGGGGCGTAGCAATTCGCTTTGCAAAGCTGCGATGTTTGGGCAATCCCAAAACCTTATTTTCTTCGCGGGTTAGAATCCAACTTAGCCTCGGTTGTATTTCTAAGTTTCTAATCACCATACTGGTGAAATATTATCGTTTTAGGATTTCCTCACACGTTAAGGTCAACCAACATGATATCTTTTGAATGTTATTCAGGGCGTTTAAATCAGCCA